AACCGATCGTTCTGTTTATATTCATCTTGCCTAACTCTCACTACCACTTAAAGCTAATTACATATTCCTCAATTAATTATTTTCTCCAGCCCTATAGGCATGACATCGACCCTAAACAAATCGGTCTGTTATTTCCAAATAATAAGCTTTCTTTCTACATTTCTCGACAATCAGCCGTTTTACCAAAAATATTTTTTTCCCTCAACAAACTTGTGCGTTTAAAATTATTTTAAATAGGCAATTTGTTTTGTCGGTTTCCAAACCCGGAACAAATTCCAAATTCCATTGTTTATCTTTTTATTTTTATTTAAAATCGGTCCCCAGCCGACAATGACCTTCAAATACCAACATAGTTAACTTTTCAAAAACAAAATTAATCATTTTGATACTAGGATGGCCAGCTGTTTTGACATTTTTATTTACATTACGCCATGAAGCAGCCATCTCTAATATATTCAATATTCAAGTCAGGAATAACAAGTCTGAAAAGAAATTCACTAATATTAGTATACCTCATACTGAAAGAAAGTTATTATATATATATATATATATATATATATATATATATATATATATATATATATATATATATATATATATTATGTGTGTGTGTATAGATAGATAGATACATAAATAGATAGATAGGGGACATAAACACAGTATTATGGCTTGTGAGAAATTTTTCAATTTATACCCTATGAATAGCCTAGGCGTCAAAAACGACACCTCGGCCATTCAAGGTAAAACCTCAAATATCAACTATTCCACTGAATATTTTTTAAAGAATTAAGTCTGTTAAGCATCTTTGCTAAAATTCAATAATTGTCCATAAGCCTCAGCATCGAACCAAAACTAATTATTCCATAGGAATTTGTTGAAAATTTGGCCGTCCGAGTTTTACTGTTTAAAATTCCGACCTTTTTCGAGCACTCATAATAATTTTTATATACGTTTCTGTTTATCAGATAAAATTTTTTTTTTCCTCGCTTCATATTTCAATTCCATTGTCTTTTTTGTTTTCCTGTTCAGATATTTAATCACATACAATGTTCCAATTATATACAGGATTTTCGGCTGAACACTTTTATTCCCAATTCCAAAACAGTAGAGTCACGATAGTGTCATAATCGTTTCAAAGACTACTAGTGACAATTTATAGTGTCACAGACATAACAATAGACAGGAAGAAGTAAATATAAAGAAAGATTAATAGAAAGGCAGAACATCAGAAAGGGAGAAGCAAAAAGAAAGAAAGAAAGAAAGAAAGAAAGTGGAATAGCAAGATAGAATAAAAGAAATAAAGAAATAAAAAGAAAAAAAGGGGAATAAAAAGGAAGAAGGGAAAAAACGGGAATAGAAAAACAGAAAATTAGAAAGAAAGAATTAAAAAAAGAAAATAGTAATAGAAAGAACATCTGAAAGGAAGAAGTAAATGAAAGAAAGAGGAATAGAAAGAGGAATAGAGAGAATATAAGAGAGGAAGAAGTAAAAAGAAAGAAAGAAAAATAGAAAGAAAGAAAAATAGAAAGACAGAGCTTAAGGAAGGAAAATGGTGCACTTCGACTTGGTGTAATTATTAGCAAGCTTGTCTCGCTAGATCAATTATGACTGAATAGTGAGTGCGATTCTCTCTGGCACTCCATACTTTTGGCCTTGTGCCACATCTAAACTACACTTAGAAAATAACAATTAGAAGAAGTAAGAAGAAAGAAATGTAAGATTTGAGAGAGTGGCTAAAACAAAAAATATCGAAACAAGAATGAAAGAAAATCCTAATGAAAAAAGAAAAGAGAAAAAAAAAAGGCGAGAGATACAAATTTGCCGACTACACGCTTAGGCCACTTCTTTGTGCCATGTCGCTTTGGGACGTGGGCGATCGTTGCTTACCTCTATTTCCTATCCATTGTAGCTCTTAATAAATTTTGTAATTTTCTCTCCTAATCCCTGTTTTGTCAACCATTTATACAAGCTTATGTAGGTTATGTGCTGCTTTCTTCTCTGCTGACTTCAATATGGTTATTTTCTCAGCGAAGCTTAGAGGCGACAAATGGCCGTAACTTTTTTTTGACTTCGATTTGTCCTGTCAATGTCTGTCTATATTTCTGAGATGAGGTATTATGTACAGTATTTACATTAGTCGGACTATTGTCCTCATCTTTGTCGCCATATTTGTCACAACGTTTCGTATTGTCCTGTCAATGTCAAATCTTGCAAGCATCATTTCATATGCCATTAAGATTTCAACTGTCTCTTTTTGATGTTAAATACAAATGCCATTTCCATTTTTTCTAAAACTTCGTCGTTGCTCACAGGTTCAGTCGATGGTATTCTCAGCATCCTTCTGTAGAACTGCATTTCAGTTGCTTTCTTTGTGAGTCAATTGTCCAGCATTAATCGCAATATATAAAAATATCGCTAAGTTCTTTTTCGTTGTAGTGGTTTTAGATTTTTTGGTTATTAGGAAAGACCTATCTGCGGCACATTTCAAGCCGAGAAACATTTTGAATTAAGTAAAATAGTATAGTGGTATAAGTGGATAACGATACATATCTATACCTTTTTAACTATGTCTGTTAATCAATATCCATCTTCATCTCTTTCGATATGTCTCCATGCCTGTCTCATTCTATGATGTCCTCTCTCTCTCTTTTAATACAAATCTAATTTTGTTCACATATATCTATCTATCTTTCTACCTACCTATCTATCTCTCTCGAACTAACTTATCTGTTTCAATCTACCTACATATCAGTATCTATCTATCTATCTATCTATCTATCTATCGTCTCTTAAGCTATATATCTATCTAATTGTCCATCAATATATTTTTTAATCATTCTCTCTCTGTTTTTCTATTTCAATCTATGATGTTCTCTCCCTCTGCCTAACGCACATTTTTTCACATCTATCTATCTATCTATCTATCTATCTATCTATCTATCTATCTCAGCCAGTCCTTATCTATCTCTCTAACTCATCCAGTTTTTATCTATCTCTCTAACTCACCCAGTTCTTATCTGTCTCTCTTTCGATCTATCTATCTATCTATCTATCTATCTATCTATCTATCTATCTATCTATCTATCTATCTCAGGCTATTAATTATCTATCTATCTATCTGTTAATTTATGCTGTTTTTTTATATCTATCTATCTATCTATCTATCTATCTATCTATCTATCTATCTCAGCCAGTCCTTATCTATCTCTCTAACTCATCCTGTTTTTATCTATCTCTCTAACTCACCCAGTTCTTATCTATCTATCTATCTATCTATCTATCTATCTATCTATCTATCTATATATATATATCTATCTATCTATTAATTTATGCTGTTTTTATATCTATCTATCTATCTATCTATCTATCTATCTATCTATCTATCTATCTATCTATCTCAGCCAGTCCTTATCTATCTCTAACTCATCCTGTTTTTATCTATCTCTCTAACTCACCCAGTTCTTATCTATCTATCTATCTATCTATCTATCTATCTATCTATCTATCTATCTATCTATATATATATATATATATATATATATATATCTATCTATTAATTTATGCTGTTTTTATATCTATCTATCTATCTATCTATCTATCTATCTATCTCAGCCAGTCCTTATCTATCTCTCTAACTCATCCAGTTTTTATCTATCTATCTATCTATCTATCTATCTATCTATCTATCTATCTATCTATCTCAGGCTATTAATTATCTATCTATCTATCTGTTAATTTATGCTGTTTTTTATATCTATCTATCTATCTATCTATCTATCTATCTATCTATCTATCTATCTATCTCAGCCGGTCCTTATCTATCACTCTAACTCATCCAGTTTTTATCTATCTCTCTATCTTACCCAGTTCTTATCTCTCTCTCTCTCTCTTTCGCGCGCTCTCTCTCTAGCTATTTATCTCAGCCAGTTACTATCTATCTATCTATCTATCTATCTATCTATCTTCAGTCACTCTATATCAGAATGTATGATATTTTAGTCATCTGTCCAAGTGAAAGACATATAGATTGGATGAATATATTTGTGTCAAATTAAATTCATATAATTGAATAAAAAAAAAGTGACATACGCTGATAACATGTATACGTCCCAAAGGAATGCAAAACATTTGGTCTTTTGTTTTGAGTGGCACGTTTCTGTCAGTGAGAATCCTTTTCCATTAATCTGCAGTGAAATGAATTCGTTGTCGCTGTATCCCATTTATATTTCATTAACTTTATCGTAACTAAACCCATCAAGATATGATTTCTCGCAAATATTTACAACCTAACTAAATAACTGTGCTACGTGAAATTCTGGTGCGTAAGTCAGTGATTTTGCGCTAAAATACAGTATTTTTCAAATCCGCATTTTACATTCGTATTATGCGCATATATAATGGATAGCGGCTCGGATTGAGGAATCGGAGAGACGAGTTCGAATTTAAGTCGAATCCATCACATTAACTTACATGCTAATACCCTTTGTAAAGGAATGAATCCTCTTATTTTCAATTACCGCCCCCACCGGCTATGGGTAAATAGAAGGACAGATCGGGTTCTATAGCCTTGGATGGCAACTAGTCTACGGCAGAAAGAAATGACAACCAATTGCGGGAAAAATCTGCCTCGTCAGTCATGTATCGAAAGGTACATGATCGCCTAAGCGTGTATCACGCATGGCACATAACTGACTAACTGATTATATATATATATATATATATGTATATACCATAATACACTATATATATATATACCATTATAAATGGCATATATATACAAATATATATATATATATATATATATATATATATATATATATATATATATATATATATACAAATATATATATATATTATAAATATATATATACAAATATATATATATATATATATATATATATATATATACCATTTGTATATATATACCATTTATAATTTCTGTGTGTGTGTGTGATCAGTTGTTGCTTTTATTTTATAGATAATTCTTCAGTGCCAGTTTTGAGTTCAAATTCTCTGGAAAAATTACAACCATGAAAATGAAAATCGAAAAAAATGATTTTTTGCACTTTGCGCAAAAATCAAAGGCAAAATTTAATGCCTGTTAAAAACAGCGTGCAATCAATTTAGAGAATTGAAATCTAACGCAAATGATTATTAGAGTTATAAAAAAAAATGTACGATAATTTATATTTATATTATTATGAAGTAATATAGTCTTAAGATGTGCTATATTTATGGGATAAAGTGCTCAATATCAGAGATAGAGCGTATGTAAATATAAAAGTGAACATAGAAGTCAACACTTAGAGGCGACAGGCTGTTTCATGCTAAGTGTTGACTTCTATATTCACTTTTATATTTATATTATAAGTAAAAATTATCGTACATTATTATTATGAATAGAACATTGTGAATAGAACAGGTTCTTTCCTTGCAAAATTGAGAACGCAAAAACAGTCCTTTTCAGGGACACTCCCGATTCAAATTGTTAACCCCTCTATTTGGGGATGTGCCTCAGTTACACACAATTGTTACTAATAGTGATTTTCGGGTGGGCTGAATTTAAACTTAAACTTCTCCAATTGAATAGTAAAGATTCCCAGTAATTCCCACCCTGTCGAAGACGGCTTATACTGCTAGATTTATATAATTATTTTCTAAGCGTAGCTTAGATGTGGCGCAAGGCCGAAAGTATGGGGCATCTAGGGAGAATCGAACTCACTTTTCAGTTGTAACTGATCTAGCAAGACAAGCTTGCTAACCATTACACCACGCCGAGGTGCCCTGCTAGTGTTATATATATACTATTTGAATTTCTCTTATATATTTTTTACTTAGAAATATCTCTTCATCAACGTGTGTTATACCAGAACATTACCTATCCTATTGTAATAGACTCTCCCACACATAATAAGTAGTAGTAGTAGAGGTTGCCAGTTGGGCTCAGTGGAGTTGAGTGAGTTAGTCGATGTCGGACATTGAAGTATCAACCATCAAAACTAGATTGCTGCATCATTAACTATTATTGCAAGTTCCTAACGTTTTGTACGTCGAACCTAATTTAGGACGACTTAGTGAAATACAAGCCTCCACTGTGAAAACTACTTTACAACAACGTGTCATATCACTTCAGGATCAAGGCTCTCCACAATTTCTCATCCTTTGTAACTCTGGTTAACGCTTATCTTTTTGTTATGCTTCCCATTTCTCATTTTCCTATATATTCACATAAGCCCGGTCTGTCCCTTTTGCGGACATTATATACTGAGCGTGTCAAATTCTCCAAGCCGTTTTTCTTCACTATTTGACTTAGAAATTTTCAAATGTCTCTTTCTGCTTATCAGCGTTCTTTTGTTTCGGTTTTCATTAAAATTCCCTCGTTACATATATGTTCAATTCGTGACATTCTCAGCATCCTTCTGTAGAACCACATTTCTGTTGCTTCCAGTCTTCTCTTCATCTGTGAGGAAATTGTCCAGCATTCCTTCCCGTTACTCCTTCGGGCAACGTTTAAACATTTGTGCCATTATTGTGTACACCAATGATAAATCTTGGTAGGGCTTTACTTCTCGCACGATCGCCTAGTTCTATAAGATGAATAAGAGCAATGTCGATCGGGAAAATGAGTAAAATAAACTCATTTCTCACTTGTAATTTTAGTGATGAATTTAGACCTATATTAGATGAACCTCGACTCCAGGCGAGGAATTCGGCCCTTCATAGATGTAGCCAATCAAAACAAGGTGGAATTGGAATGATGATTTACTTAAAAAGGCCAGGGGTCATATATAAAGAGGCTGATGTTAATATCAAGATGAATGCAGATGTTTTTCCGACAAGATATATTTGAATGATATAAGTGGCAGCCATGAAGCCTTAAGGGGTAAAAAATATATATTCATTCTTCTTTTTCTGCAAATTAATCTAAGAGAAAGTTTGTAATCTTTTATTTCACATATGTGCCATGCGTGATATACGCTTAGGCGATCATGTATCTTTCGATACATGACTGACGAGGCAGATTTTTTTTCCACTGTTTTCATATTCATTATTCCTCCTTGATCCATTGGTTGGATAACAGAAGTAGCACTTCTTGGGAAATAGCATGCATAAATATTTCCACAGTCAGAAATCAGTTCTGATTCATGAGGATGAGCATTGCAATTGTCGAGAAGCAAGACACGTCTGTTTTTTCAGTCTTTCCAAAAAGTCGGACTGGGGGAATGAAAACCTGAAATGTTTTTATCCATTCAAGCAATTCTTTGGTTCTTTTCAGTCAGATATGTGCCATGCATGATACACGCCTAGGCGATCATGTATCTTTCGATACGTGACTGACGAGGCATATTTTTTTTCCTACATTAGGTTGCCATTTCTTTCTGCGGTAGACCAGTTGCCATCAAGGTCTGTCGTGCTATTTACACATAGCTGAGGGATGAAGAAGATTCATACCTTTCCCAAGGCACGTAAGTGAATGTAAAGGATTCGACTGGAATTCGA